TACACATATCAAAAACATTATTCATTGTATAATTGTGGTTTTCACTAGTGAGTTTTTACTGGCACATTGACCTTCTGTCTGAGAAAATATATATTCTTTGGGCACCTGGGTGGCTCAGTCAGTTAAGCGTCTGCCTTTGACTCAGATCATGATCCCAGGGTCCCGGGATCGAGCTCCGCATCGGGCTCCCTGCTCAGCGGGGAGCCTGCTTCTCCCTCCCCCACTCCCCCTGCTTGTGTTCCCTCTCTCGCTGTGTCTCTCTCTGTCAGATAAATAAAAATCTTCAAAAAATATATATATATATTCTTTGACAGTATGTGTTAACACATCTATTTTTATGTGAATACCTTTAACTTAAATTTAGAGATACTATTTCATATGTACACAAATCACTTTATTCTGCATAGTATTTAAGATGGAATATGATGTTAGTACATATACTTGTTCAAGTCTTTTAAAGGTTAAACTTAACAGCTGTCTTTTCATCTACCCATATTCATATAATATTTTGTCAGCACTAATCTAGCAATGTTGAAAGGCTTGCTGTTTGAGTGATAAGATTCAGGTGGCATTTTATTATATTTATGGATAAAACACTAGAAAGAATGTCATGCTCTCAGAACTAGAGATGACCTCAGGGGAGAAGGTATCTGTTCTTAGAGGCTTTCCAGGCTAGAATTAGCAGGTTATAGGGCTTCAGTATTTTAAATTGCACTGATGTTCTTTTGTTGTCTTACTACCATTTTTGTCCACTGTGGTTTTGAGAAATTTGTTTCTTTTGACACATAATAATCTCAAGATTTTTGTAGAGGAACTGTATTTTGTAGTGAGGTTATGAACTTTGGATTCACGCAGACATGGGTTTAAACCTTGACTTTACCAGTTAGTTGCTATATGATCTGGAGTATGCTGCATGACCTCTCAAATCTTTCTCTTCCTTAGTTATGCATATAATACCAGTTCCTCATAAAGATATTGTGTGTTTTAAGCACTAAATATATGGCTACTCCTGGTCTCAGGACAAGTGCCACATAAGAGCTGTGGCTATAATAATATCAATGGTATTAGTGTTAATGGTGTTAATATTGACTATTACTAATATTCATAATTAAAAATTAATTTGATTATTAATATTAATCATTATCAATATTAATGGTATTCATGCCATTCACAAGTTAGGGTCTTCTAGAATGTTCATGGAGCAATTACAGATTCTCATAATTTTGTCATTTTATGATGTTCAGCAATGTCTGCAATAGCTAGAGTGTCCGTGCTGTTTTGATACATACTTAGATAATAGAAACACAATAATGGAAGCAGAGTTACTAATTCGGCAATATTCTTATGATTTAAGTGTCATTGGTCAAAGAGTAAGGGGCCTTTGAATTCTAAGGATCACCAAAAATTTACTCATATTTTACGAATTTTCCTTGTGATTAAAACAATGGAATATCCTTTAAATGTCATCCAAATTTGTGCTGAATAGCTTAAAAATATTTCAAAACATTGCATTGTAGCTACAAGGGAATTCTACTCCAGAGTGACAACTAGGCCATGATTTATTACAGGATCTTCTTTTAACATTATTTTGTCTGGAATGAACAGAGCAGTTGAAGAAACTCCATCTATCTTTTTGTTTATTTGACATCCATGCTGCATTAAATGTACCTCAAAGAAACAATATACAAATAAGAAATTCTCCTTAACAGCCATGATTACTCACCAGCAAGATACATCTCTTGGCAATAAAACAAAAGGGAGCCTGTCAAACAGTGTCTGTTAAAATTTAAATAAAGCATATTTTTTAAACCTAAACAAATTTTTATTTTATTTTTTTAAAGATTATTTAGAGAGACAGCAAGAGAGGGAACACAAGCAGGGGGAGTGGGAGAGGGAGAAGCAGACTTCCCACTGAGCAGGGAGCCCAATGTGGGGCTCAATCCCAGGACCCTGGGATCATGACCTGAGCTGAAGGCAGACTCTTAATGACTGAGCCACCCAGGCGCCCCAAATCTAAACAAATTTTTAAAGCAAATATTTTAGCTTCGTTTTCTTTCCAAGAGTTAGCGTTAAGAAGTGTGCTCAAGTGAACTGTTATTTCCCTTCAACAAAATTAGCACCATCCCCCAAGCTTTCCATATTCTTCTAGCTCAGTTGCTGATTATATATAATATGAGTAATTAGTGGAAATAGAATGTGCCCTTTTTGTTCACATTTCTCAAAAAGTGGTAAAAAAAATTGAGCAAGTAGATAAAGACGTTGATAAATATTTTGTTGTGCATTCATGCTTTTAGAGGGTGACCTTTTCTTCATTCTTTCTTGTAAAGTGATTTGGGGGGAAGAAGGGAGGGAATAGAGTAATTGGGGCAGGAAGAATACCTTTGTGTACTTATTCCTGAGAATATTAGGACTTGAATGAAGATTCTCCACCCTGGAATTTAAAGCCACATAGCAGTTTGTGAATGAGACACCTATGTTATCAACAATTGGTTGCTATCTTTGTTTCTTATCTGAACTACTTCTCATTTATTAGGTTTACTTTGAAACTTATTTATTTGGAAATTTGATTTTTCTTTTTGTCTTACAGCTGTTACATACAAATTCTGAAAGGATGGGAGAATTTTGCTTCCATTTACTATTCAGTAGATCTACTTTTTAATATTAGGTTGTTGTCAATACTCTACTTGCTAACCAGGCAATGTTTTCAGTAGTACAGCCAGCCCAACACCCTCCTCCATGAATTACTGTCTAGCTTTGTGATGGTCTCTGAATAACTTGAATCTTTGTTTGACTTGTATACTTAACGTGGACTAAACTGATAGATGCTATAAACTATATTATATTCCAGAATTCTAATTCTGAATTTTTGTTGCTCATGAATAAAGACCAAGATTGATCCAGTTGGTTGTTGTTAGATCATAGAGATTTCTTGATCTATTAATCCTAGCAGTTGCTGACTATTTAGTTTCATCATATATAGTCTGGAAAGCTCCTTCCAGGCTTTACAAATTCTAGAGGTCGATGGTGCTTGTGCTAATCAACATTCCATACAGGCTGCATATCTAGTTTCACAAGAAAGGAGCATGGTGTAGATGTAATTAGTGGCAGTCGGGAGATGAGAGCCCACCGAGGGGATGCTATTCCCCAGGCAGTCATTGCTGTCACGGGGGTAGAGGGGATAGAAGAGTTCACTATTAGGGTGCTTTAAAAAATAAAAACAAAACCAAAAGACAGCTTTTATGCTACGTCTTGGTTATATATTATTTCTATTAATAGAAATTTTCTATTCTAATAATTTCTATTATAACAGAAAATTATTACATTTATGAAAGTTTGCAACTTTTACTCTGGCCTTATCCATTAAAGATGATAGTGTGAAGGAAATTATGGATCGAAAGGTAGCTTAATAAATCAGATGAACATTCTCAATATATGTGAAAACAGACTGAGAGATTCTAACTGCTTTTAGCATGCAAAAAATAACTTGTGAACTGGGATTACAACTAGGACATATATTTGTATATAAAATATACATTCTATGTACTTGTTTGGGTTCGTTTGATCAACTGTTGAGCTTTGGGGGCTAAAGGCTCACAATCTGGTGGGCCTAGACCGTTATACTCCTCTGAGTTCTAGCCAGGTATGCTCAACAGTTTATCCACTCCCCAGGGGCTAGAAAATTGGTTCTTGGGAAGCAAAAATATCTTGCTGTTTTTATGTACAAAGCATAGATACACATACAGCACATGAACAGATATACAGGATACCTATGATTTTAAAATTTCATGGGTGCACATGATTAGGAAAAAAAATACCTAAAAATGCTCTTTGGTCAGCAATAATGAAAGAAAAAGATCGAGAAACATTTTTCTACGCCTGTATCAATCTACATCCTTTGTGGGCATTTTTACTTGGATGTTACTTAAAAGCTTCAAACTCATTCAAAAGTGAAACCAGTCTCTCTGCGCTCCGCACCCCACCCAAATCTGTTTCTCTGTCTTTCCGTTTACTTCAATTAATGGTACCACCTGGGTCTCCATGGCCCCTCTGTCAGGCCCTTGTCTTTTCCTGCCTGGATTGTTGTTTCAGGTTTTTAAGTTCTTTCCCTGCTTGCTTTTTGCCTTTTATCCACACAGTGCTAGAGGGAGCTTTCTAAACTGTCAGTCTCATCATCTCTTACCCAGTTTAAAAACTCCCAATTCTGAGGGATCCATGGCATACCTTTCCTCCTGTTTTCTGGTCTTTTCCTGTCTTCCCAGCTTTTTATCTGTCTACTCTATCTATTGTCCTCCTCAACACTTCTTTTTCTGAGTCACTCAGACTCCTCAAATGTGGTGTTTTCTTCCTCAAGTGTGGCCTTTTTCAAGTATTGCTCCATCTGCTCATGGTATGGCACTTTTGAATATTCTTCCCTTCCCTAATCCATACAACTTCCTGTCTACCAGTGTTCCAGATGTCCTGTGCTCTGAGGCTTACTTTGTTATTATTTTTATTCTGTTTGTCACACCATGGTAAATGTACGTGTGTGTGTGTGTGTGTATTTCCCCCCACTAAACAGCTTCTTGAGGAACAATTCTGTGTCTTATTTATTACTGCATCTCTGACTCCTACATCACCTAGTAGGCATTCCATAAATATGTGCCAAATTAAAAAAAAAAATTTTAAAAAAGGAACAGATGCCTGGGATTGTTTTAAGTACTATTATTATATAGACTTTCAGGTTATTCTCTTCTCCTAAGTGTTTATCATGTATTTTTTCCCATAAAATGTTGCATAATAGATTGGATTAAGCTTATACTTTTCAACAAATGTTAATGACTTCAAACAACAATACTTAAAGAATAGCTTTTCAAGTACTTAAACATTTGCAATTCAAAAATAGAATGAACTAATTTTACAATTCATTTACTTCTTACCTACAAAATACAGTATTGACATTAGGTAAGTAGGCAGATTACCAAAATATTTTTTACTGTTTTTTTTCTCCCTCTCCTATCTAGCTAAAGGACACAAAATCAGCAGATCAGAAAACAACACTACTTCATTTTCTGGTGGAAGTATGTGAAGAGAAGTACCCTGATATCCTGAATTTTGTGGATGATTTGGAACATTTAGACAAAGCCAGTAAAGGTTTGTGCTTTTATAGAAAACATTTCACTGCTCTGAGTCTTCATTTAGTACGTCAAGACAGAAAATGCCTTTTATTTGAACAAACTTGCTACTTTGCCACAGTGTTTTAAATATGTTTATAAAAATATAAAAAATATGTAGTTATGTAGTTAAGCCTTATGAATACCTGCCCAGCCCCACCCTCTGCTGCTCAGCTGCCTCCACTGTAGCCATGGTAACCCTCACTTGAGTCAGTGTCCTTCACTTGGGGATAATCATTGTGTCTGGGCCAAGCCCCAGTAATCAGTGTCCCCAGTTGGCCTAAGTTCTAAATCTGTCTCTACCCACACTGAAGGTAGAGACTGCATTCTTTGTCTTAGTAGAGGCCAAACTGCCAGAAATTCCCTTCAGTCCTTTCTAATGCCCGGATGTCTCACCTACTTCTGTCCCCACTGGGTTTAGCTCAGGTTGCAAAGGGTCAGGATAGGATAGGACCTGTTATTAATAGTTGGTTATAATATGATTTAAGTGCAGATTTTGACCACTTGAAGAATCCAGTTTTTATTTATATAGCCTATTCTATGAAAAAATTTTACTTGCTTCAACCACCAATTTATGAATACGCATTTCTATGAATATATGCATACATACTTCTTGGAAGACAACTCATTCCAAATGGCAAGATACCTGTATTGTCATTGTGTTGAAAACTGGTCATTAGAAATGTCAGACTATTTTTGTGTTGTTTGTTGTTTATTGTCTTCCTAAAATTGGAATTTGTCAACTTAAGAATAACTTCACCCCCCTCCATTTTAGTGAATATTCCTTCTTAAAAAAAAGTCACCTTTGTCATTTTCTACTCCCTTTGTTTCTTCTGTAAAACTTCTTCTTGTAACACTCTATCTGCAGAGTGGTAATGTGATTGGATGAGATGTTCTTTGACAGTTTTTCCTGAGATGTATGTTTCTTCGAAGTACATATCTCATACAGCCTGTTGAGGTGGTGGGGGGTGGAGGAGAGTTAGAAATTAGTCTGGATTTTTAAGACCAAAAATAAGCTTTTTACTTCACTTTTTGCTCCTGCATGCTAATGTTGTAATGATGTTGGAATTACTTACTTTGTCCTTGTGCTACCTAAGAATGTCCTTGGTATAAGAAGATAATGACCATATGTATATATATATATATACATATGGGTGTAAGTGTTTTAATGGAATTTAAGAAGGGAAAATAATTATTCTCTTATATTAAACAATGAGATAGGGCAAAAGTACATGGAGGAAAAAAAAATATTAAAAATAACTCAGTGATATTCAAAATGCTTTTAAGTGATTGATTCATTAATTCAGGGAAGGTAACTTCCCTAAAATGAGATTTTGGAAATTTTGAAATAAAAATTAAGTAAACAGGCCAGAAGAGAATTGAAAGTGATGAATGGTAAGCATGATAAGTAAAAGAATAGTAGATGAAAAAGTTGTGCATAATGCCGTGAAATATAGAGAGAGTTCTTTTTCTGGAGAAAAGATAGCTGAGTAGAGCTATAGCTTATATCAACATTAGGTCTTTGGGAAGAATTAAATCCGTGCAAGCATTTTATGATAATAACAGTTTGCATTCCTGACCGCTTCACCATCCTTTCCTCCTGGTTCTAAAATTGAACAGTGAGCTGGAACATACTTCTCTTTCAGATGTACATTTTAGTATAGAATTTATTTTCCAGCAGTGGTGCTCTAAATTAAGTTTTTAAAATATCATTTATCTATTTTGACTTACTTGATTGTACTTAAAATTCTGTATAAGTATTATTTTGCTTTTGAAAACTAACTTTGATAAGGGCTTGAAGAGTTGTAGCTTGGTAATTAGATACTTCTGTTTGTTTTCTTTTTTAATGTTTCTACCAGGGCATTCTAGGGCCTTGGAGGTTTTTCATTTCCATCTATTAGAGCAGAGGCATGCATATGTGTATAGATCTGCAGATAGCATGAATGTGTTTCACTGGAAGCAGCCAACTAAATATTTGAAACAAAAAAGCCATCATCGAGATATATATATTATATATATATATATAAATATAGATATAGATAGATATATAGATAGATATACACGGGTATAGATGGATATAGATATTTTTATATAGTGTAGGTGATTGTCGAGCATAATTTCTTCATGTGATTTTATTACCCTATTATTAATAATGAACGAGATTTTAGCGGAATGAATGTAATAGTTTTGGATGAAGTCTATGTTTGCTTTGGAAAATTTCAGTGCTTTTATATTATATATCATCATTTAAAAGTTTCCATATTTGAAGTCTCCTCGGTGAGCTATCATATGAATTAAAAAGCACCTTTGTTTTTGAGACATAACAAAATCCTGGCCATTAAGTCCTCATGGATCAGCAGGGGGATCTTTCATCGCAACTAATGAGCTTACCCGTATGACAATTTTCAAAAATCTACTTCATTAGGGCTGCTGCTTTTCCAAGAGATAGTGGCTTACAGCTTTTCTGTTGTATTTCAGTGAAAATATTTTGGGTCATTATTGTATTTCTATATACCATTGCAATATTTCTTTCTTTTTTTTTTTTTTTCCGGTCTTTGAAGGGTTGAATACATTGTTCTCTTGTCTACACATTTGAAGTTAATGGACTCTAATCTGTGAAAGTTTTATTGATTATTTCACAATAACCAGCTTCATTATTAACTTGGAATGGTTTTTTATTAATGAGCAGAAAATATGACAAAACTGTGGGGGTTTGGGGAGTGTATTAAAGTAAAACCAAGGTAAGTTTATAATGTCACCTTGTTCAGCCCTGTCTCTTTTAGGGTTCTTGGATCTCTGCCATATATTTCTCTTCTTCCCTAGATAGTCTAAATTCTAGAAATGCCATGCAAGTCCAGTCTGTAACTCACTTCTTCATTTGATAAGCAGGTGTTGTGTGATTACTCAGTGTCAGAAACTGTGCCCTTGTCTTGCTGCTGGTCCAAGGTTTAGTTTCTGTGTCTTGGTGGCAACCCAGATGACTGCACTGGCATCTGGCTCCTGTCCTAACTGGCTCCTCTTACATTCTCAGGATCCTTTACTTCCTCCTCTCCTTCGATGCAGCTTTGTTGCAGCCAGTGTTATTAGCCTAATACAGAGCCCTTCTTTTCCTTTCTTCCCATAACTCCTTAGGTGATCTCTTCAGTTTCCAAGGGCTTACATACCATCATTCCGCTAATGACTTACAAATTTGCACCCCAGTCTTCCCTTCTAAGCTCCACACTTGTGTATCCAACAGCGAACTTGCCATCTTCGGCCACACCACGCGCATAGATCACAGCGTGCCATAAAATGCGGCTCTTAATTCCTACACCCGTAACCGCTCCTTCCCAAGTTTTATTTACTTGAGAAAATCCTTCCTAACACCCTTTCTTTTGATTTTCCTCTTCTCATTCGCCTTGTCTCTTCACAGCCTTCAGCACGTCAGCTGCGAGTCGTGTGGTAGATTCTAAGTTTAGTCTATGGGAAGTGGCCTAGAATGTTGCCTCATTCCCTCCTTCATCAAGCAACTTATAGTAAATGTCACCTTCCCTCTAGTGCTTTTTTCCTGGTTGTTCCAGGGAGTTTCAGTGTGCTCTACTCTTTCCTTAAGGATAAATTCATATGTTTTTCCAGAAAATCTTCGACCACTATCTAAGCACTCAGAGTCTAGAGTAGAGACTATTCCTGGAACTGCTGGAGATGGAATTCACTTCTAGAGAATGGGCTGCCTTCAGGGTATTGTCAGAGTGCATTTAATGATTCCGCATTTCTTTTTTTTTTTTTTTTAAAGATTTTATTTATTTATTTGAGAGAGAGAGTGAGAGAGAGAGAGCACATGAGAGGGGGGAGGGTCAGAGGGAGAAGCAGATTCCCCGCCGAGCAGGGAGCCCGATGTGGGACTCGATCCCGGGACTCCAGGATCACGACCTGAGCCGAAGGCAGTCACTTAACCAACTGAGCCACCCAGGCGCCCTGATTCCGCATTTCTAATGTTGTTCACTTTTTTCCATTTCCACATGTTTATTTTTTAAATTTTTTAAAAATGTTTTAAAGATTTTATTTATTTGAGGGAGAGAGAGTGCACACACGAGAGAGTGAGAGAAAGAATAGGAGTAGGGGGAGAGGGAGAAGCGGACTCCCCCCTGAGCAGGGAGGCTGATGCGGGACTCGATCCCAAGACCTTGGGATCATGACCTGAGCCGAAGGCAGACACTTAACCGAATGAGCCACCCAGGTGTCCCCATTTCCACATGTTCAGCTTTTGGGAGCATTTTCTTTGATATCTTACATTTGATATTTGTCCTCCATTTTATTGACATCTCTGCTTTTAAGACTGTTTGTTTGCTTTTAGTTAGTAACTCCTTGGTCTGACCCAGATATTTGTCTACTCAGATACATCTCCAATTCCAGTGCCTTGTGACTTTCCAACATTTTATGATAAATGGTTTACTAAATACCAAATGTTTATCTTTTATTCACCTACTGTGAGCACTTAGAACACTTCATTTCCAGGTGGCTGCCACCTGGAAATGTATAGTGTTTGAAATTTCAAATTCATCTGCTCTAACAAGCAGAAAGCATTTTCAAAGGCTCCCATTAACCTTCTTATACTATACACTTCTAAAAATGCCAATTAAAATTTATTAGTTTGATGTATATATTTTGAATGTTCAGGATTAGTTATTAATTCAATTGCATTTTAGACATTAAGTGTGTACTGTAAATACATAAAAATATTCATTGTGCAACAGACTTAACATAAATAACATTATGTTAGGGAGGTCATAGGTTGGGGCTTCACGATTTTGTGAGATAATTCATCTGGTATTTCAAATCAACTGTAAGATATTAGAGTTTCATGAAAATACTCATTTGTGTACATTTCTGCCAATATAGTGAAATCATTTGAAAGAACACGGTGGGGGGGCATTTATAATAAAATAATTTAGAGACGACAACCATGTAGGGTATCGTTTTAATTCAATTGTCAATAAAGGG